AATTTTGCAATTTAGCTCCAGTTTCTAGTATTTTCGCTTCCCTTCCGTTCTAGCAACAAAGTATACTTGTAAATTATAAATTTAAGCATTATAAGTACCTTTTAGCTCTAAATAGCATAAAAATAGTATAAAATAATAAGAAAACGTCATATATATATATATATATATATATATATATGAAATAGACGTTATCAAACTACCCCACAATAGTCTTTTGCCTGCCCCCAAGCAAAATTGATTTTATTATTATCATATCAAGACTTTAGCTACTAACATCGCACAAGACAATCCATTTTGATCATCTCCATTACTCCAAGACCGCAATGCATTTATTTGTGTTTAAATTTTCCTAAGAACCTACCCAATCCCAAATACTCACAATCTTCATAAACATTTGCCCACTTCTTTTGAACAACGCTCATTTTATGCATCCATCCGAATCCATCCCCAAAAAACTTTCTTAACTTCAAGGTATTTTTGGTTAAGCCCCCAAATCATACATATGGAAAAGTAACCTACAAATAAAAAGATTACAATAGTAAATACTTGGCAAATTTTCGCCTTATTCATGAGTCTTCAATAATTTGGAGCTTTTCTTCATGATATTTCTTGATCTTTATAGCTTTGCAGACTCTTATTTCTCAAACTTTTGAAATTTTTTTTTCTTTTCTCACTTTTTCACTCAAAACTAAAAAAAAATCCTTAAAAAAAGCATATGCTTAAGCAAGGGAACTTAGGCTGTGTTTGGCGCGCCACAGCTAGCTGATAAGCTAGCTTATTTTTTGAGCTTTTTTTTGTTGTCGTGTTTGGTAAGCCAAAAAGTAGCTTATAAGCTAACTTTTTGAAAAGCTACTTAGGCTATGTTTGGCGTACTAGCTGAAAGCTAGCTGTTAGCTGAAAAGCTAGCTGAAAGCTGAAAAGCTAGCTGTTAAATAAAAAGCTAGCTGATAGCTGAAAAGCTAGTTGATAAAAAATAACGTTCGGTAAAACTAGCTGAAAAGCTAGCTGAAATATATAAAATTACATAAAAGAACATGTAAGAGTATTTGTTTCTATAATTAATTAATGGGTGTATTTGGAAAATTTTAAAAAAGCTCCTAAAAAGCTAGTCTAAGTAGCTTTTCAAAAAGCTAGCTTATAAGCTACTTTTTGGCTTACCAAACACGACAACATAAAAAAGCTCGAAAAATAAGTTAGCTGTGGCGCGCCAAACACAGCCTTAGACTAGCTTTTTAGGAGCTTTTTTAAAGTTTTCCAAATACACCCCTTAATTAATTATAGAAACACATACTCTTACATGTCCTTTTATGTAATTTTAACCCTTATAGGATAAATGCATTAGTCTAAGGTGAAATGACTACATAAGCTCTCCTGGATACATTTCTGATACACGATGCTAAACATATTGCGACCCTCAAACCAAGCAAGGTCGTGTTTTTGTTCCATGATTTCACTAGGCTAAGGAAGCCACAAATGCACTATAACATATATTGGCTCAAATAAACATTGAAACTCACATCGAATCGTCTCACACAACACTAGATACCTAGATCTCAATACAACAATTTTTAAACTAGATTTAATTTTAGATTATTATTTCAATCTTTCTAATAATCTTAAGATCCTAGTCATTTTTTCAATTTTTTTTATCAGTAAGCTTGTATTCCTATATTTGACCCCCTACCCCACACTTATTTGATGTAATTTCCCCATTGCATATTTAAACAATTAAAGAACATAAAAATAAAAGGGAGAAAAAGGAACAGACTCCCCTGGGGTAGTAGTGGCGAGATCGAATGGGGCTGCTAAAAGTTGCTCCAAAAATTGCTGGAAGACTAGAAACTGGAATGTTGATTCTGAATGTGCCGGGAAATAAGACCAAGAACACCAACTTCTGAAATGTGGTGCAAAGGATTGCAAATGAATACCACGATGTGGGAAGTGTCGACTACGTCGTGGCATCGAATGAGGAAAAATCAGAATCGCGAATAAAAGTTTGGCCACAACGTGGTAAGTGTTGACCACATCGTGGTATCTAAGATGACAATCTTCCACTTGCGATTAAAAATTCCCCCACGACATAGGAAAGTATCAACCATGTCGTGGCAGCTGGGACGATACTTATGCTTTGCATTGAAATAAAACTCCATGGCATGGGAACAACTCTTCCATGCCATAGGAAATCGATGAAATCAAAATTGCCACTCTTAGAATAATAATCTCTCATAATATCGAGGTGTACCCCACACTTATTAAAATTCATGGATATTGATTGTCAACTTCAAACTCTCACGACTTTTTCTCTCGTGACAAAATAGCATTTGGACCTAGCGGTTGAACTTAATGAAGGCATCCGAAAGGAAAAAATTCTGCAAAGATCTAAAACATCAAGAGCATCAACATGAAAACAAAATAAAAATAAAAATAAAAATAAAAACTCACTAAAATAACTAAAAATTAGCAAACCAAAATAACTAAAAAGGATATCATGATCACTCGTCCTCGTCGAAATCAAGCTACAATTGTTGATTAAATCTCTTACATGCAAGAAGTGGTTTGTGAAAACAAAAACTTTCGGGACCCGTTAGGCTATTTCTTTTGTTTTTTTGCACCATTAACTAATAAGTAGAACAAGAATTGACCCAACTAGTCAAGAGTAGCAAGAATTCAGTCTTCAACTTAAACACCTCGATACGCCTTGCTATATTACGCCTCGGGGATTAAGTTGGACAAATCACCAACGTAGTAGACTAAACAAGTCAAGAATTCTCTAATCGTTTGCAATCTCGAAACCCATGCAAAAAGATAAACCAAACAATATGTATGATCACAAATTCCTGCAAATAACAAAAAAAAAAAAAAAATCTTCCCGACAAGTGACATGATATCAACGTAAATAAAACTAAAAATAAAATTAAGTTAAAAATTAAAAACAAATAACGAATAATCAAACAAACAAAATCAATTGAAAACCATTCGCCGGCAACAGAGCCAAAAACTTGATGTATGTTTATATATATATATATATATATATATATATATATATATATATATATATATATATATATATATATATATATATATATTAATTGCTCAAGTTTTAAATTTATAAAACTAATTTTATCACAACCTGACTAATAAACACATTAGGTAGTGTACATAATCATGTAGGGATGAGCATATGACCCGTTGAACCGGACCGGGCCGGAAAAAAACCGGGACCGAACCCAGACCGGACCGGAAATGCATTTAGTTGGGCCGGTTTTCGGTTTTTATTTTTTGCAAAAATCGGGTTTCGGGTTTGGACCGGACCGTACCCGGAATAAACGTTGTTACCCGGACCGGACCGGAAACTAAGGTTATTTAATTTTTAATCGATGCAATCCCTATTCCCTACTCCATTAAGTTTGTCGATTTTTTTTCTTTCGGGTCCGACTCCCTTTTCTAGTTTGATCGCATTCTACGAGTACAAAAAAACCCTACTAAAATATTATAGTCTATATTATTGATGACATACTTCTCTCTCTTTTTCAATGGTGATTGAAAATTGGATTGGCTCTGTGGAAGACAATCAAACTCAGTCTAATATGTTTTTGATGTTGTAATCATGTAATGTATTTTGCCGTAACAGGACTCTGGAATGTTAATATATGTTGCCCTAAGAAAAACAATGTAAAAATCAAATCATATAAATCGTCGTTTGTGAAGGAGCACTAGATAACATGGTGCGTGACTGCATGTGACATTAATTACGATTTCTTAGTCAAAAAGACATTGAGTAAATAATAGTGAGCTTCGTCATTTAATATATTTTCGTTACACGTATTTGGTATTCATAAGTTAGATACAAGAATTGTATAGAATTATATGTATGGTTGCTTTACGTAATGTCAAATGCTTTATGTTAATTTGCTTAGAATTACAGCCCAATCAAGAGTTCAGGACCATATATTTATTTTTACTTTGCAAGTTGCAACTTATAACTATAAGTCTATAACTAGTCACAAAGAAAGATTTATGTATGTATGTCATATATTCGGTCCACAACCCGAAACCCGGTTTTGTACCCGAAACCGGACCGGACCGAACCCGAACCCGAACCCAATACACCTAAAACGGTCCGGTTTTCAGGTAAGTTAATTCACTATTTTCGGTCCTCGGGCCGGTTCGGTCCGGGTTCGGCCCGTTGCTCATCCCTATAATCATGTAATAACATAGTTATGGTAAGACCAGGTGTCGAACACTAAGGAGAATGGTTGTAACATCCCAGAAATCAAGGATAAAAATTTCATTTTTATTATAATCAAAATATAGATGTAACTTGTTCCAAACATTTAAAAACATCTCTAAGTAACACAATTATGAATTGAATCCCAAAATCATATATTGCGGAAAACACGGGTATATGCGCTGCGATCAAGCCGGACCCTACGCTTCCGAACTGGAAGTACCTGAAACCAAAACCACAAACTATAAACACCAAGCTTAGTGAGTTCCCCAAATACTACATATCATACAACTTAGCCATAAATAACATTCATATCATTGAGTCATACTTATCATTCATATACTACAATCAATAAAAGTACTATGTGTTATCCATAGTTTTGCCATTATGTATTTTTATTATATTTTAAACTATTTATTGCTAGCTAAATCGATGAAAATATACTTTATATATAAGTCCCGATTAAGAATCTTGTATTGTTACTTCTTTATTATCCTTTAATGTCTCAAGGTTTTAGATAGACTTTACCAAACCAATGTTGTAGTTTTAATATTATAAAATAAATTCCAAAATTAGTTGACGCAATGATTGTCGATTGCTATTTGCAAATGGGAAGCACTTTACAAGTTTGCGTGTGTATATACAAAGTCAATGACTCAAAGTCAAACCCATATTTAAAAAATAATAATAATACACACGAAATTTCAATGGGTAATAGACTACTTTGGCTTCTATCACAACTTGGATTTGTTTGATTTATCTTCATCCTTATCGATTTTTGATCAATATTCAATAGGTATGTGCACGCAAGTATGTATTGCAACAGCATTATGCAAATTCACAGAAGAAACTCACCTGAAAGAGAAGCTTGAATTGACTAATGGCATCACAGCGAGAACTTTTTCATGTTTCAGGACCTCTCCACCTGCTAAATTCTTTCGATTGGTATGTAAAAGGCATTGTTTGTTTTCAACACGAAAGATTTGCTTCGATTTATCCAGTAACTGATTCGATTCTGTTTTACAGGAGAAACACGTTTCATCGAAGATCCCTTGCTGCAAGCCTTGTTCAAGGGGGTTACATTCTGGAAAGGGATCGTCAACGTGGAAGCATTCAACAGGATGCTAATGCACCTCCATGGTGGGAACAATTTCACTTTCAGTTGAATCACGTTCTAGTAGACGATAGTGATTTATCCTACTATGGGGCAATTTTCGAGCTCAAATATGCCCTTCCATTCTTCTATCAATCAAATCCTCACCCTCCGAGATATGTGATAGCGTTTCGGGGAACAATTACCAGATCTGTAACAAGATCTGACGATATGAAACTAAACATCAAGTGTATTTTTGATAAACTCGAAGAAAGCTCACGATTTCGTAAAGCTTTTGAAGCCGTTTGGAACACGGTAATGGCGGTGGGGCCAACAAACGTCTGGTTAGCCGGACATTCGTTAGGTGCGTCTATGGCATTGTTGGCAGGGAGGAACATGGCGAAGTCTCGATATCAACTCGAAACTTATCTCTTCAATCCGCCCTTTATCTCGGTTCCAATCGAGAAGATGATAAAAAACCAAACGTTGAAACATGGCGTCCGTATCGCCGGTAGTCTATTAACGGCCGGAATTGCGACGGCGATGAACCGTCACCGTAAAGATCCAGAAGAAGATCCGTTTGTTGTGTTGTCTGAATGGACTCCGTATATGTTTGCGAATCCATCAGATCCGATCTGTGCGGAATACATTGGGTATTTTGAACATAGGGAGAAGATGGAGAGGATCGGAGTCGGAAAAATCGAGAGGATCGCGACGAGATATTCGATCGGAAGTCTGGTTTCTGGTGCAATGGGGAGGGATTCGGAACCCTTACATCTGCTACCGACGGCTTATATGACGGTGAATATTAGTCCATCGGAGAATTTCAAACAAGCTCATGGAATTCATCAATGGTGGCAACAACATTTTCAATGGCAATCGAAGCTATACAAATTTAAGTAGCGATTTCTTCATCGCTCGATTGCGAGATCTAAAACGGAATTAATTGATTTTTCCTTTGAGGGACTTGAAGTTTTTTCGACAATTTATGTGTTATGTTTCTTCAAATATGACTGCTAATAAATGCCCTTTTGCATGAAGGGTAAAACTGTAAATCCATGTGACAAATTAAACAGATCTGGTGATTTATTTTGATAGTATGATAGTTTTAAGAACTATAAATTCATAATACCAATTAAAAAATTATTAAAATTAAGTTCTTTTTGAATAGTAATTATTTTTATAATTATATTTTACTTTGTATATTATTCTAACTTTATTGTAATGTTACAATAATCATTTATCCAAGCAAAATAATATTATAATTTTATTATAGTTTTTTACGTGTTGGATATAAGTGTTGCGTCATTGTATTTATTTATTTAGTCCATTTTGTAACCGGGTTGACATGTCCACCCGTTATCTATTATTAGGGTTATAGTATTTAAAGTGCATGCATGCATCATATTTTGCATCTTTGGAAAATATCTTGTAACCCTACACGCATCTACAGTAGAAATTCTTAATTGAGTTCTTCTGAGGCTGTGGCTTATAATCATTCAACATATTTTGATCTACTTTCCGTGTTCTTATTCATTACTTGTTTGAATCTATTCGATCTAACTAGGATTCAATCCTAACAATTGGTATTAAAGCAGGAAACTGTGTAATCTATACGCATCTCTTATGTTGAAAGAAGCTTTTTAGGGTTTCCGCTATTATTGGATCTTGTGTCAGCTGTCATCATCGTTTGTTCATTTGTTGACGCTGATCTTGCTCTTAATATTGCCCTAATTTTGTTTACACATCTGGTTTATACAGGTTTTGTTCGATATACAAACATGCATTCAGAAGATTCTCACGTTAATTCAATAAATCTCTCAAGCGACATTGGATCCACAACAAGGATTCCTATCTTATTCCCTAGTCAATATGAAGTGTGGGCGTTGCATTTTGAAGACTACGTCCTTGGCCTAGATGACAATGGCTATCTGATCTGGGATGCCATTACAGTTGGGGCGTTTGTTCATACTGGAACAAGGAGAGTAATTAAAACTCAGGCCGACTATAACAAGATTCTTATTGAAGTAAAGGATGTTCCACAAGATGAGAAGGACAAGTTAATTAGCAATGTCAAAGCAATGAGGATTATTAGGTTTGCCCTACCGCCAGACACATTTCGTTTGGTTAGTTCATATGATACAGCTAAAGGTATCTGGGATAGGCTTAAAGAATTGTACTCTACTGACACTGATCTGGAGCATTCGACTCAAACGTTACTGCTGTCAGAGTTAGGAGCTTTTGTGCAAAAGCCTGAAGAAAGTTTAGATCAGACCTTCAATCGATACAATCATATTCTCAGCGGGATGATGAAACATAAAATTGGAGCTGAGCTTATTGAGCAAAAAGTCACGTTCATGAATGGTCTAAGGTCTAAATGGAAGGTCGTTGTTTCTACGGTTAAAGCACATGAGCAGTTTAAGAACTACACGTTGGCTAAGCTTGTCGGTATCCTAAGGTCACATGAAGATGAAGTGACAAAACAAGGGAAAATTGTTTCTGGAGTAGGTTCGCCGACACTGGTAGCTAAGGGTAAGAAGGCTGCAGAAGATGATGATTTGGAGTTTGAACTCTCCGATTGTGAACTTTCTAAAGAAGAGTTCGCATTGATGGTGTCCAACCTAAAGAGGTTCGCAAAGAAGAACTTCAACAGGAACAAGAATCGAAACTGGAAGGGAAGCTACAACTCTGGGAAGGTAAAAGAGGAGAGTGCAAACAGTTCTCAGAAAGAAGAGGACAAGAAGGAGAAGAAGCTCATGGGTAACTCTGGCTATGATTGTAACTACTGTCATGGAAAAAACCACCTAGCCAATGAGTGTATGATATGAAGGTTGAACGAGAAGAAGGAAGGAGAAGATGATGAGACTTACCATCTCCGAAAGCTCGAGGAGATAAATAAGAAAAAGAATGCTGATAATTCTATGCATGCTTTTATTGTGCAGGAAAATGATGTTGAAGATGAATTTGGCTGGGTTGAAGTCTGGTCCATAGATTCCGAAGATGAGGACGTTCGTATGCCTACTCATGGAAGAAGTCTCGTAGCAAAGGAAGAAGATTCGCAGTTTGGAGGTAGATGCTTGATGGTGATGAATGATGTGTTAGGACTGAGAGGATATGCTACCGAAGGTGACCATGTTTCTGACAACTGCTTCACTGCAGAAATTTTTCCTGAGCAAATAAGCGAGTGCGAGCAGGTCATCAACAAGGTAAACTCTATTCTCGAGACTCTAAATATTCCCTTGTCTCGTTACGAAACTGAACTAAATGATTTAAGATACACTTTTTCAAGCTTTAGTGACAGTTTAAAAAGAACTCGTTTGACAAACTCTAACCTAACCGATCAAATCAACAGGGTTTCGTCAAAGAATAAGGAGAGACGCATATGGATAGAGAAGATTGAGTCTGATTTATCTAAGTCTAGGGATGAGTCGATTTATTTACAGAGGGATAATTTGAGTCTTTTAAAACAACGTAATATTTTTTGTTTGATTGCCAAAAGACTTTATTTCAATATCACTCAGTTGCATCTTAATTGTGAAATTGGCAAGAAAATCGACGCGGATTGCTACATGTAACACCAGCAAAAATTAGGTCAAAAATAAATTGTTCAATAACCTTAATTGGGATAAATAAAATAGTAGAGATCGTAACTAAGTTTCCAAAAATATAAAGAACACTGAAATCCGAGTCATAACGAAGAAGTTATGACCAATCGAAGATCCGCAACAAAACCGGTAAAATACTGTTAAGGGTAAAATACGAAATTTCAATAAAATACTTTTCAACCTTAGGTATCTAAATGAAAGTTGTAGATATCCCAAAACCGTAAGCATACATAAAAAAGAACGCCCAAATCTGACTTCATATGAGGAAGTTATGATTTTTCGAAGTTTCGGACATAGCAGTAGACAGCTAAAAACTCGAAATCGAGATCGAGCGACTTTTTGCCAACATGAACTAAACGAGAATCGAAGATCTCATCAATGGTATTTCAACGGTAAAAAGTCTGACGAAAACGGACATCGGATGAAGAAGTTATGGATTTTTAACGGACTTTTCCTGTCCCGGCCTGTTAAAAATGTAACATTAAAAATAAACTCAAAATTAGCCAACGAAGTCTAAACGAGAGTTGTAGAGCATAATCTCACCTACGCGTGGATATAAAGAACGTCGAAAACGGAGCTCGTATGCGAAAGATATGAATTTCTAAAGTTCGAGGCACGAGTTTCGACGCTGTGTCAGATTTTTCAGAGTTCACGACGTGAACACTAAAATTCACGACGTGAAAAGTCTGACTGACCATTTCAGAGCCACTTGACGGATGACGCATGCCATGACGAATCGGGACAAACTCACGACGTGAATTGGAAAAACTCACGACGTGAACTTCGATTTTTAGCCTATATATAGAAATTGAAGCCTTTCGAGTTTGGCTGCTCATTCCTATCCTCTCTCCCATTTCTACTCTGTGTTAAGCATCCCGAGACCACCCCGAAGCCCCAATAACAACCCTAGCACACGACGCAAGGCTCGAAGTCCCGAAATTCCCGAGGAACTTGCTTCTTTCCAGTCGAAGTACTGCCCGAGTTTGGTCTCGCCTTCTTCAACTCATCACTTCTATCAAGTGAGTTCATACCCCTACACTTTTCTAAGCTTTTTATATGTTTTATAAGGGGGGAATACAAGTAAACAGCCGGTTAATCCCGAGTGAAAACATCAATCTTTTGCTATACCTTTCATGTTGCTTTTATAACTATCATATGGAAATTGTTAAACATGCAAAACACCTCACAACACAACTTTACCCTTATGGGATACAATAGGTTTTATAAATGAAATACATTTTATTTATACGTTTGCATACTACATTATATCAAGGCTAACCATTTCAACTATAACACCATGTAGTTACAAGTAAATATAACTCATCATTATGTTGTTATTAACACCGTCGAAAGGATAATCTTTTCATACAAAATCATATAAATTATATTGATTATACTTTACAAATCAATCCACTTTTTCTATCGTACAAGGTTATAAATAAAAATTGTTATTTTTATTTACTAAAAGGTTTTACATATATTACTAGTGAACTTATTGTTAGCGAATCATCTGTGAGACAGCGGCTTTGTTTAGTAATAAACGAAAGTCCATCACTTATAACCAGAGTCTCCTGTAGGGAGAGCGTGAGTTTGTGTATAGATCTATACGGGACTGACAATCCCGCACCTTGACTGTTAGCTACAGTCGACCCGGGGTGACAAATGTCATTTATAGTAAGGATATCCGTCATATTAGCATGGTTATAGGAACTCGCAACGCGGAAACAATGACTCTTAGTAATACGCAACTCAATCAAGCTCAAAGGGATAATAACTATATGATTACTTCGTATTTACATTAGGGTTATATATGTCTTTTACTTGATAGACAGTGGAATGTATGATTTCCGCCTCATTTCCTGTTCCTTGTTTGGTTGTGGACTTAGGGCAGATTCACCCAATCGACTGCCGGTTTAAATCTTAGTTATATATAATTCGTAGGAACCAGGTAATCATGATAGGGTATTATCAACACATTCAAAACTTAGGGTAAACACATCTTCAATTAGTTTTACTTATTAATAAAACTACAAGATACCGAACTAAGTATGACATATTTACTTACAAATCATAGTCTTGGACATTTGAGACTCCTCCTCATTGTTAGGAAAATATAGGTTTTTCCTGCGTCAAATTACAAACTTCTTATAGTTTTGTTTACTAATAAAACTATGCCTCATTATTTTAAGTATGACATATTTACTTACAAAATCATAGTCTTGGACATTTGAGACTACTCTCTACTGTTAGGAAAATATAGTTTTTTCCTGGTTCGACACCTTCATTCTATACAAACAAAGATTCATAACTCCTTTTATGAGAAAATATCGGATTTTCTGGAAACATATACATATAGTTACATATTGATATGACTACTTAGTGGATATGTTTGGGTTATATACAATGAAGATTCGATAGGCAGTGGAATGTGTGATTTCCGCCTCATTTCCTGTTCCTTGTTTGGTTGTGGGCTTAGGGC